CCTCCATCTTGGAGGGTCTTGGGCTTCTTGTGGGGTGGGTTCCTCAAGGTTCTTCTCCACCTGGAGGACCTTGGGAGGACCTTGGAGGGTCCTGGGGGCTTCTGCTGGGTTGGGTTCCTCAAGGTTCTCCATCTGAAGGACCTTGGAAGCTTCTTCTGGGGTGGGTTCTCCAGGTTCTCCTCCACCTGGAGACCCTGGAGGGGGGAGGGAAGGTCTTGGGCTTCACCTGGGTTGGGTTCCTCAAGGATCTTCACCTGGAGGACCTTGGAGGGTCCTGGGTTGGGTTCCTCAAGGTTCTCCTCCATCTTGGAGTGTCTTGGGCTTCTGCTGGGTTGGGTTCCTCAAGGATCTTCACCTGGAGGACCTTGGAAGGTTCTTCTGGGTTGGGTTCCTCAAGGTTCTCCTCCACCTGAAGACCCTGGAGGTGCCAAGGCAGCTCCGAGCTGGAGGCCGGAGCAAGATGTGGGTCCGTCAGCCCCATGTCCACCTCCATGAGGTCTTCTCCACCCTCCCCCCCCCCCCCCCCAAAACCGAGAAGAAGATGGAGAGCGACCTCTCCCAGCTGCAGACGGAGGTGGAGGAGGCCATCCAGGAGTGTCGCAACGCCGAGGAGAAGGCCAAGAAGGCCATCACCGACGTGAGTTTGGGTGGGATGGAAGACCACCATCTTGGAGAACCTTCTTGGATGGAGAAGATGGAACTTCTGGTGGTGGTGCTTCTTGCTTCTCCAGGCGGCCATGATGGCGGAGGAGCTGAAGAAGGAGCAGGACACCAGCGCCCACCTGGAGAGGATGAAGAAGAACATGGAGCAGACGGTGAAGGACCTTCAGCTGCGGTTGGACGAGGCCGAGCAGTTGGCCCTCAAGGGGGGGAAGAAGCAGCTCCAGAAGTTGGAGACCAGGGTCAAAGAGTTGGAGGCCGAGCTGGAGGCCGAGCAGAAGAGACACGCCGAGAGCGTCAAGGGCCTCCGCAAGGCCGAGAGGAGGGGCAAGGAGCTCACCTACCAGGTTGGGGGGCGGGGGAGATGTGGGGCAGGAGGGGGGAGGGGCCGTGGGGTGGCCGTGGGACATGGGGTTGAAGATGTGGAGTCATCTAGAAGGTGGTGGACCTCCATGGGAAGAGGGAGATGGAGACGATGAGGAGGATCTAGAACCTCTTTGACCCCATGGGGAGAAGGATGTGGGTCACCTGGACCTCTTTGACCAGGTGTAGGGTGACCTAGAACGTGGTGGACCCACATGGGGAGAAGGATGTGGGTCACCTGGACCCCCTTCTGCCCCATAGAGTGACCTAGAACCTGGTGGACCCCCATGGAAAGAAGGCTGTGGGTCACCTGGACCTCTTTGACCAGGTGTAGAGTGACCTAGAACCTGGTTGACCTGGTGGCCAGGGGGATGTAGGTCACGTGGGGCCTCTGTCCTGCCCCATAGAGTGACCTAGAACCTCTTTGACCCCATGGGGAGAGGGTTGTGGGTCACCTGGACCCCCCTCTGCCCCATCCTGCCCCATAGAGTGACCTAGAAGGTGGTGGACCTCCATGGGTAGAAGGATGTGGGTCACTTGGACCTCTTTGCCCGGGTGTAGGGTGACCTAGAACGTGGTTGACCTCCATGGGGAGAGGGATGTGGGTCACCTGGACCCCCATGGCCTCTGTCCCGCCCCATAGAAGGTGGTGGACCCCCATGGGTAGAAGGATGTGGGTCACCTGGACCTCTTTGACCAGGTGTAGAGTGACCTAGAACGTGGTTGACCTGGTGGCCAAGGGGATGTGGGTCACGTGGGGCCTCTGTCCTGCCCCATAGAGTGACCTAGAACCTGGTTGACCCCATGGGGTGAGGGTTGTGGGTCACTTGGACCCCCATGGCCTCTGTCCTGCCCCATAGAGTGACCTAGAACCTGGTGGACCTCCATGGGAAGAGGGAGATGGAGATGAGGAGGAGGATCTAGAACCTCTTTGACCCCATGGGGAGAAGGATGTGGGTCACCTGGACCCCCCTCTACCCCATCCTGCCCCATAGAGTGACCTAGAACCCCCCTCTGCCCCATAGAGTGACCTAGAAGGTGGTGGACCCCCATGGGGAGAAGGATGTGGGTCACTTGGACCTCTTTGACCAGGTGTAGGGTGACCTAGAACGTGGTGGACCCACATGGGGAGAAGGATGTGGGTCACCTGGACCCCCATGGCCTCTGTCCCGCCCCATAGAAGGTGGTGGACCCCATGGGGAGAAGGATGTGGGTCACCTGGACCTCTTTGACCAGGTGTAGGGTGACCTAGAACGTGGTTGACCCACATGGAAAGAAGGATGTGGGTCACCTGGACCTCTTTTCCTGCCCCATAGAGTGACCTAGAACCCGTTTGACCCCATGGGGAGAGGGATGTGGGTCACCTGGACCCCCTTCTGCCCCATAGAGTGACCCACAACCTCCCGTGGGGCCTTGGTGGGACCCATAAGTCCCCTCCTTCTCCATGGGGACCTCCCTCCTGCCCCATAGCCGGGGCGACCCACACGTCTGGTTGGGTTCCACCACCACTTCCTGAGAACATCGTCAATCTCCTGCCCCCTAAGTGCTCCACGGGGTGTCTCTCCGCCCCCACAAGTGTCTTCCCTTTGACCCCATGGGGAGAGGGTTGTGGGTCACCTGGACCCCCCTCTGCCCC